ATGTCGCTTAAATAAATATTTTGTATTTATACAGTGGTGGCCAAAATGATTAGAGCACTAGTATTTTCACCAGCTAAAAAATGTTTTGTAAAAAAATCTTTTGCTGTAGTGTGTCAGTACTAGGAAATATCAGTTTCCATTTCCAAACATTCATTTAGCCATTAATTGTAATAATCCAGTGAGATTTTTGTTTGCTCCACACAGAGATCTGATCTCACCATCATCCAGTCTGTCTGGAATGACATGAAGAAACAGAACAAACTAAGACAGACTCAATCCAGAAGAACTGTGGCAGCGTCTCAACGATGCTTCAAGAGACCTACCTGCAAAGCTACAGTACTGTTAAAAGCTTTAGGCACTTGTGTATAAATGCTGTAAAATGGGGATGCTGTCAAAAATAATGTCAGAAATAGATTTTCTTTATCAATTAACTTCTATTAACTAAATCAAAGCAACATTTGGTTTGAGCATCCTTTGCGTTTAAAGCAGCTTTTGCCCTCGGTGCACTTGCACATAGTTTTTTAGGTATCTTTGCAGGTAGGTTTCTTGAAGCATCTCGGAGACGTTGCCACACTTCTTCTGGATTGAGTCTGTCTCAGTTTGTTCATAAATATATATATATACTCATATAATATTATATATCATAAATAGCAAGATTCTACATTATTTCTAGGTTGTTAATTATATGTACAAATGTGCATTTTTGACTATGTTGGTCAAAAGGTGAAAGTGATTTGCACTTTTTGAGTCAAAATGCTGCTATTTTTGTAGTTTAATATTATTAATTTTAAAATTATATTGATACCATGAAAATTGCTAAATCATTTTGAAACATTTAGTATGATTTTTTTATGGTGTGAAGCAATTCTGCACTGTTCTGCTCTATATAACATAAATCTATATTTATATTTAATTTTTTATGAGGCAGCGTGACAAGCTACATTGCTGTCACTGGGATGCATATTGATTCTAGCTAATAATGCACCACTAAATCCACCAATGCAGGGTGTGAAGGTGTTATTATCATGAAACCATTAGTTGTCTGCGGTCTTCATCATCGTAATGCATGTAGTAGATGAGATCAGTCCACTTATGCATCGCATAAACACAACACTGGCTACACGTGTAGGATGCATAGAGATGTGTTTCATGTTCACGCATCGCTCTCTCAGCAGCATCCACACCTGAAGATGTCAGCTTTGGGGGCCCCTGCGGCTCCCGCTCCGCCGGACCTGAGCCACCTCACCGAGGAGGAGAGGAGGATCATCCTCTCGGTCATGGAGCGGCAGAAGAAAGAGGAGGAGAAAGAGCAGTCCATGCTGAAGTAAGCTTGTGGTCAGCACCCTTAATAGGGGGCGAGGAGGACTGCATTTGTCTCTTTAAACGCGCTCCCTCCTGTCGTTTTCAGCATGACTGTCTCCTGAAATGTAATACGTCTGCTTACGTCGACTGTCAATATTAGGCTATTGTTGAGACGAGCGCGGACAAAACAGAAGGGGTAGCCGTCAGAGGGGTCAATGTCACGCGTCTGGCGGCTTTTCGTCGCTCGCGTGCCGCGTGTGGATGTAGTATTTCGCCTCTGGTGGGCTGGGTTAGCTGTGGGCGCCATCTTCGCTAAAAATCCCACCAGCCGCCGTTTATACCAGAGATTACTACAAGTTTGAATGCGTGCTGTCGAATAGGTCAGGCGTTAACTATTAACGCGACGCCCAGCGCGGCGATGTTTGCGCGATTGCGCTTGCCATGGAGCCCGGCGCGGTGTTTTCAGCACCACGGCGCTGTCCGCTGCGGATGTGTGTTTCTCTGACAGATCAGCCTTCCTGTGTGTGTGTGCTTGTTTGTGCTACATTATGGGGACCAAATGTGATAGTAAAAGCTGAAATTTTTTTAAATTTGGTCCACACGAGGAAAACATTTATTAAAAATAGTAAATGATGCAAGCAGGTTTTCTGTAAGGGGTAGGTTTAGGGGATAGAAAATATGGTTTGGTCAGTATAAAAGTAATAGAAGTCTATGGAAAGTCCCCACAAACATGTGTAGGTGTGTGTGTGTGTGTGTTTGCTTGACAGGCCTTATTAATTGCAAGGGTGCACCTGTTTTTCTTGTGTGTGTAGAGGTAGTTGATATCAAGCAGTGAAAGTGTCCCGCAGTGTGACATGAAACACTTCCTCTAAGTCTGTCTGAAAAAGCACTGGACCAGTAATTCTTGTTTAAGTACTATAGTATTTTTTTTTGTAGTTTTGTTTGTGTATGCATGTGTGTGTGTGTGTGTGTATACAGTGGTGGCCAAAATGATTAGAGCACTAGTATTTTCACCAGCTAAAAAATGTTTTGTAAAAAAATCTTTTGCTGTAGTGTGTCAGTACTAGGAAATATCAGTTTCCATTTCCAAACATTCATTTAGCCATTAATTGTAATAATCCAGTGAGATTTTTGTTTGCTCCACACAGAGATCTGATCTCACCATCATCCAGTCTGTCTGGAATGACATGAAGAAACAGAACAAACTAAGACAGACTCAATCCAGAAGAACTGTGGCAGCGTCTCAACGATGCTTCAAGAGACCTACCTGCAAAGCTACAGTACTGTTAAAAGCTTTAGGCACTTGTGTATAAATGCTGTAAAATGGGGATGCTGTCAAAAATAATGTCAGAAATAGATTTTCTTTATCAATTAACTTCTATTAACTAAATCAAAGCAACATTTGGTTTGAGCATCCTTTGCGTTTAAAGCAGCTTTTGCCCTCGGTGCACTTGCACATAGTTTTTTAGGTATCTTTGCAGGTAGGTTTCTTGAAGCATCTCGGAGACGTTGCCACACTTCTTCTGGATTGAGTCTGTCTCAGTTTGTTCATAAATATATATATATACTCATATAATATTATATATCATAAATAGCAAGATTCTACATTATTTCTAGGTTGTTAATTATATGTACAAATGTGCATTTTTGACTATGTTGGTCAAAAGGTGAAAGTTATTTGCACTTTTTGAGTCAAAATGCTGCTATTTTTGTAGTTTAATATTATTAATTTTAAAATTATATTGATAGCATGAAAATTGCTAAATCATTTTGAAACATTTAGTATGATTTTTTTTATGGTGTGAAGCAATTCTGCACTGTTCTGCTCTATTTAACATAAATCTATATTTATATTTAATATCATGTTTATGTCATTTAAACCTTTTTATGCCACTTTTTGAGTCAAAATGCTGCTATTTTTGTAGTTTAATACAAATTTGATTACAAATGATATTAATAGCAGGACAATTGCTATATCATTTTGAAAAACTGAGTATACCTTTTTATGGCGTGAAATGATTCTGCACTGTTCTGCACTATTCAAGATAAATGTATATTTATATCTATATCATATTTATATAATTTAAACTTGGATTTTTATGGCATGAAATAAAGAAGATTCTGCATTGCTTCTAATCAAATGCAAGCAATTGTATTTTTGACTATATTGGTTGAAAAGTCAAAATGATTTGCACTTGCTACTGTTTTAGCTTAATACAAATTCCAGCACATATTAATAGCATGAAAAATAAGCATGAATTGGAAAATATCCCTCTTTTGTTTTAATGTGTGCAGCATTTGATCTGCATGAGCTCCTCAAGTTTGTATGAAAACTGATGATCGTGTTTTCAGCACGATTTGAGCATCTGAACGTCTGTTCAAAGAGTCATATGATCATGAACTACTCATGACCTGGAGTCCACTGTGATACAGTCATCTGTTATTTCTGTATAAAAACACACACTAGACATTGCTTTTGACATACTAGAGACAAACTGATTGCTGAGAATTGATGGTTTTATCCACATTTATCCACGTATTGCTCAATGCCTCAAGGCACTTGGTAGAATTGAAAATATTTATTTCAACTATCCCATAATTGAAAACTGATGATCGTGTTTTCAGCACGATTTGAGCATCTGAACGTCTGTTCAAAGAGTCATATGATCATGAACTACTCATGACCTGGAGTCCACTGTGATACAG